CCAACACAGGTGGGTGACTTTGCCTCCCCCATCACCTACCTATGGCAATGCTGTAGTGTGTGTGCCATTGCAGGGTAAGGCAGGGTGATTGAGATTATACTCTCTCTTGAAGAATTAAAATATCATAAAACTAGGACAGCATACTGCCAAGAAAATGACTGAATGTTATTGTTCATAATTCACCTTTTGAAATAACCTCATTATCTCCCTGAAGTTTAAACATTCTGAACTGAGTTCAGATATTTGTGTTAGAAAAATAACAGTACTTGAACTCTGAGTCTACTATTCTAAGATACACAGTGGCCATGTACATACCTTTCCTAAGAATTAAAAGCTTGGTATTAGGTTAGAAATATCAGACAAAATGTTTGCCAGATGATTACCACATCTACTTACCATACTAAGAACAGCTAGAGAAAGAAGTCAAAAGGAACTCATAGGTAGGAGTCAGCAGAAGACTTGGCAGCCCTTATGAGACTTCTGCATTAAGTAATTACATGCACCACTAGTCTGAGATCCATCATTTATATCCCCTTTTATGCATTGTAGCTCACATTTCCTTGGTGATTGTTATTACCAATTCACTTCAATAGAGGGCAAAAGAGACTAAAGTTGTCATCTCAGACTAGAGGCTGCATGCAAGAGTGAGAATTAAGAAATCTGTGAGGATTACATACAATTGGAAACATAACTGAGGTAAAAGAAAAATACTAAAGTTGTACAGAATTTGGGTAATTTAATTTCCCTTAATGCTTCACTGCTCTCCCTATCTGTGAATCAGACTGAAATAAACACAAGAGCTTGATGAAACAAAATTATCTCAAAACTCTTCACAGTCATTTCTCCCTAGGCTTAAAGAGATTGCAAGCACCAACTTTACAACACAGGAAAAATATATGGTGCGGTGAACTGGAAGAACTGTCTTCTACATTTTCTTTTACTGACTGTTAATGCAGCAAATTTGTGAATAATTTGGTACACATAAGGGAATTTCTTGTAGGGAAATACCATTTTGTTAAGTACATATAATATTTATATATGTATTCTTTATTATTTATTTATTTAGTTTTTATCTTCTCTCTGATTTTGTTCTTCCATTATAGCAGGGGCTTTGCATTTCAAATGATCTCTCTTCTGTTACTGAGTTTCAAAGTTTCAGTAATGGTGTTAAAGTCCCCTGCTTTCAGACACAAAGGCACAATATCCCAGCAGTTATTAAAAAGTCTAATGTTTTATGAAATGTGAAATAATAGACTTTGTTTGGTCCCTGAGATAATTATTTCTTTCATTCCAACTGAGAATGCAGAATAGAAAGACAGCTGCTCTGCAATGAATCCCACAGTGATGAACCACTCCAACTCCTGTATCCTTAAAGAAATCCTCACATAGTGATATTTGTCTCCTGCTGTTTTTCCCAAATTTCATGTGCACTGATACAATTTTCCATAGTGGCCTTAATATATTTCAGTAATTGATAGCTTTCCCACAAAACTCCCTCCAAAGTTTTTGGGTTTTTTTGGAGCACACCTGACCTACCAGTCCTCAGAATCTTCTGTTTGCCTTCTACATGCTCACGGACTTCATTCTGCTAGGCCTATGGTTTAGGCCATATGAATTTTGTCCCCCAGCAGTTTGCTGACACCAAGAAAAACACTTGCATTCAAAATTATCTTGAAGAATGAGGAAGAACTGATCAAATGAGGAAATATTATAAAACCAAAGGTAAAAATGTCCACTTAGGAACAGAAAATCAACTACAGAAATACAAAATGGGAAACTGCCTAACAAAGAGCTTAGCTGCAGAAATTGATCTAAGACTTATTGCAGAGTGCAATAGAAATATGAGTTGACAACTGTGGAAAGACAAAAATTAAAATTGTTGCTGTGGACATGTTAGAAGGAAAATTATGTCCAAAATGGTACAGCAATAGTATCCACTGTGGGTGAGTTCTCACTTAAAATACAGTATTTGTTGTAGAGCATGGTACATTAAAATAAAGGGTGAGGCAATGAAACAAAGTGTACAGAAGTATTGACAGGTATTAGAAATATTAGGAGGGCAGAAATGAAAGATGAGTAGATATAACTGCATAAGCATGACAACAATGGACTATATTCAATTAAAAAATGAACAAATTAACCATATTCATATTAAAGGAAGGGCATAGTCCCCAACAGAAAGATCTAGGACTGTTTCCTGCATTTACCATTCCAGTCAAATCAGACCACAGAGTGCTTGCCAGCAGAAGACTCTACCTCTAACAAAAGAAAGTAGTATCACATCACATCACATACACCATTCCTTTTATTTCTATCCCATCTATAACACAGACTATGACCTTAAGGAACAGACCAGCCTTGCCTAAAATTTATGGAGGTGGAAATAAGCAGAAGTCCAATGCAAAAGAATCATTCATAGTGATTTTTGGTTCTTGGGTACAAAACATCTGTCCAAAGATTAGTTTGTCATTGCTCAAGGGAGATGATGAGGACCTGATATCTGGCATCCCTTCACAGAATCACAGAATTACAGAATAGCTGAGGTTGGAAGTGTCCTCTGCAGATCATCTTGTCCATACCCCTGGCTAAAAGAAGACCACCTGTACTGTGTTCAGGTGCCTTTTGAGTATCTCCAAGGATGGCACTCCATGGCCCCCTGGTCCTCTGTGTTGTACACAAGTGACCCTGCCCAGAACACCTGAACACTTGCTTGTTGGTTCTTGTAATTGTGTGGATGTGAGGGTGTAAAGGAATGTAATCATTGAGAAAAGGACTATGAGTGGGTAAAGCCAATGTACTTAAGAGTTTTTGTGAAACTATATCACCTTCTCCTACCATAGACTCTCACACTGCGTTTTTTACACTAACTTACAATAGAGAGAAAAGCACAGATAGTGATACGTGCTGGAAGGATGCAAGACCTGGTTTTGTCTAATCTGGATGAGAAAAGCTTCAGAGGCATTAAGTATGACAAATAATTTGCCATCATGTGCCTCACATTTTGAACATGTGCTGTTACCTGTTTGAACACCAGGATATGCTCAAACCCACCTTACTGCTGGGGGCTGGACCAGACCGGTGGCTGACAGCAAGTTTTTGATGCTTAGTGCCAGATTCTTTGTCAAAGGCCCTGTGACTCAGAGCTCCTGGTGCCAGCCCAGATCCACGCCAGTTAAAGACTTGGTGCCTGTGCCAAAATTTTGTCACTACTGGGCTAAACAATCCCTTTTATTCTCTTCCTGACCTATATTGTTACAGTTGCTATGAAACCCTTACCCATGGAAGCAATTTTTCCACTGGCTCCATGGACTGTCTCTGTTTCTCACTACTGGGAAGTTTTATTTCTTCAATAAAATTGAATACAGTCCTGCTTGAGCTGGGGTGGAGATTAGTTAGTCTAACTCTTTCATTTCAGACAACTTTTGATAAACTTAGCTAGAGTTAACCCAACTGCAATTCATTGAGTGGATCTTTTGCTGTTATCCATCTGACAAAGAGATGGCAGCAGGGTGGTGCTGTTGCATTTTTGTCTTAATTTACTTTTTTTAAAATCTGTTTTTCAGGAGTAACAAACCTGAGCTTCTGAGGCTTAGGTGTTTTACCAAAATTACACATAGAAATATCTGCATCAGGTACAAAGTCAAAAAACAAATAGCTATGCATTTTCCAACATACATGCTTTTCATGTGAATTTTACACACAATATTCCCCTTGGTTTTTGAGGTATATGCACAACTCATCTCTGTAATCTATGAAATTGAACATTCAGGTATTGAAGGCTGAATGAAGCCTACAAAATCTTTATGTTCTGTAAGTACTGAGAGAAATCTTTATGCTGGGAGCAGGAGGTGGATCCTAAATACTGAGAGAAATCTTTATGCTGGGAGCAGGAGGTGAATCCTCTACCTGTATTTTTAGTAGAATCAAGTTAAATAAAACCCCACATTTTGTTAAGGCCTGGTTTTGAAGTGCTCTTTTTTTTTTTTCTTTTTTCTTTTTTCTTTTTCTTTTTCTTTTTTTTTTTTTTTTTTTTTTTTGCTATTATTGGATTATATTTTCATTCATTAAATGTGAAAATGGGAAGTATGTAGCCAAGGTAACAATTATGTCCCTGGAGAGTATCCAAGTGCACAAATCTCACATCATCATCCTAAACCAAGCTGTATCTTGACTGTAACCTGCACTCTTCCCATCATTTATGAAACAAGATCTCACCAGCCAGGACCACATTTTGGGGAGGACCTACAAGAAAAGGGGGCAGCTGAATATTACACAATACAGGTGCATAAAAATGTTACTGCAACTGTGTGCCAGGCACATCAAAACCGTGATGTGTCTGCAAATGAGTCATCTTGGAGTGAACACTCCTGGCTGGGAGCGACGTAACTCACTCTCTCCCCATAATCTCACAGAGCATGAAACTTGACAAGCAAGTGAGTAAGGCATGTTCTTCAGTGGTCAGAGGCAGATTGGATGTGTCGCAGGGCAGCACATTAGGTTTTTAACTTGGGACACAAAAGAACAAATCTTGCTATGCATCATTATCCCCCCACCATATTGCCCTCCTTCTCTGGTTCAGTTCTGTGAGTCTTTCCTAATCTGAGTGAGAAAAATGCGCAGTGTCAGATGGTGCAGATAACGATAATACCAGCGAGGCATTATCAACAGGGCAAAAGCAGTAGCTTCTGCTCTGATGCATTTGCAGACCACTTCTGTCTTTAAGGAGACTATGAGAGATCTTTGCCAAGCAGAGCTGATTCAAAACTCTGCAATTAATTTTCTGAACTATTTTTTTTGCTGAAAGTGCTTGCATTTAGACTTGCTGTAATGCCAAGCCCTGCTGTGACTCTAACCACAACAGACTGACAGCAGATAACTATATTAACAAGCAATGAGCTTATCTGACAAGAGGCTTTTCATCCAGTTTCTTGTGTGTACACTTTAAACATCCTGAGTCCTGTGAGTCATTTTGGTATCAACAATAGACTGGAGAGTGAAAATAGATTGCTTACAGGGTTTTTACTGCTTTCTGTAGGAAAAAAGCATCAAATGGTATCTTGTACTTCTTATCTTCTCCTTTCCCCAAATATTGCTCCTCCATTTCTTCAATCCATTTTCACAGTCTTATTTCCATTTCTTCCCACAATACCACCTCAGTCCAGTTCCTGTCTAGGCATTCCTCCAGATGTCTTGCACTTTTAGGAACTCTTTACTTGCTCCTGGAACCAACACATGTGAGTAGATGAGTATATTGATGAGTACTTAAATCCCTTGTTAAATCCCTGCGGTATTCCTGCATAGCGACAATTCTGCATTCTCTGGGTTGCAAAATTATCCTAGATTGTGTCTGGAGGCTAAGATGGAGATGAGGACAACCTCTTCCCTCTGATATAGTCATCAGCGAGTTGAATACATTACTAGAGCTCTAGAGGTTGGCTTTTTATTCAGTACTTGAGCATTCCCCCTTCAATTTCCATTACCTTTTCCAAACAGCTCTACTTGTTGCTGCATCTGTAGGCTCCACATTTTCAGCAGTATTTTCCAGTGGCGAGCCCTTCAATGCTTGGGTGCGTATTTTGGCACATTTTTGAAAGACCCAGGGCTTCCGAGGGAGCCGGCGGCCCCGCTGGCCGCGGCGCGGGCCGTGCCCGGCGGGGCGGGGCCCCTCCTGCCGGGAAGGTGCGGGTGGCCGCCCGCCCCCCGCCGCCGCTCCGCCCCGGGGCTGGCGGGGCGCGGGGCGGGCTCGCTCCCCGGCGGCAGGGGAGCGGGCGCGGGGCACCGCAACTTCGCCGGGATGAACGTGGAGAACCAGGATGTGCTGCTGGATCTGGAGGGGGAGGAGGAGGAGGAAGATGATGATAATGATGATGGGGAGATCGGTGAGTAGGAGGCTGGCGCGGGGAGGGTCCCCCCTGGACAGCGGGCTCATCCCCGGGCGGCTGTGGCTCGGCGAGGGCTACAGCCCTGGGAAGCCCCGGCGGGGCCGGTGCCGGTGCCGCGGCGGGGAGAGCACCTGGCGGCGCCGCGCCCGGGCTGTGCCGGCCGGGGCCGGGAGCCGCTGGCAGGCAGGGAGCCCGCACCGCTGCGCGCTTCCTTCCGCCAAAACTACGGAGGATTTCTCCGCGTGAAATACGGGATGTCTTTGTCCCTGCTGGCGAGTGTGCCGGGAGTGGTTGCCTTAGGGAGCGCCGTGGCGATCCTGTTTCCGTAGCATCGGCACTGCTTGATGGGCGAGAAGAACGGAAAACTTTGCCCGTTCCTTTCCCTCTGACCTGGGAGAAACGCGTGAGAGGGGGCAGAAACAGCGCTTTGCAGGGAGGGCGATGCCGGAGAGCTTTGGTGTGGCAGTGATCTCCCAGCACAGGCACAACCCGCCGGTGCCTTGGTCCTTGGGAAAATACAAACGCGATCGCCTGCGCACGCCCCGGAGCTCGCAGCATCCCTTTTCTCCCCGCGCTGCCTGTCTGGCGTGCCTTGGCTTGACACCGCGCTAAAGAGAAGGGTGATCACAGAACGGCTTGGGATGGAGAGACCTTGAAGATTATCCAGTTCCAGCACACCTGCCATAGGCAGGGACACCTTCCAGCAGACCAGGTTGCTCATTGCTCCATCCTAGCTGGCCTTAAACACAATCGGGGAAGAGGCATCCAGAACTTCTCTGGGCAGCCTCTTCCAGTGCCTCACCATCCTCACAGTAAAGAGGTTTTTTCTAATATTTAATCTAAACCTTCCCTCCTTCAGTGACACTACTCACTCCCTCCAGAACAAACCAACAAAACAGAGTAAAATGTAAGAGGAAATTGGAAAAAGAAAGATAGTGATTTTGCTGGAGGGAAAAAGAAGGCATATTGTGTCTGCCAGAAAAGCAGACATTAAAATGGACAGAGAGTTTTAAATTCAAAGTGTATGTTAGTCTTGTTCCAATGCCAGTAGCCCAGGACAATGACATTGTATTTACTGTGGGAATGAATTCTATTAAAGTATTTCCAGAAAACAGCCCAAAAGGGGTTGTTTCTCAGCTGGTTCAGACTGAAGGGGCCTGTTTATTTCACTGAAGAGATACAGATTTACTTCAGTTCAGAAGCTGTTTTTCAGCTGCAGTAGCCAAGATAGTCTAAAGCCTTTTATTTCTAGTGAACACTTAAAATAAATCTAACAAATGAGGAATGCAGGCAAAAGTCACTTAGAAACAAGCAGAACCTGGATCTGTATATATAAATTTTAACAAATAAAAAGGGTTTCTGCTCATTATTGTTCAAAAGGCTGTGAATGTTTTCACTGAAAAGCACATATTTTTGATGATTTTTTAATATTTGATCTGAATTTCTGCATTTGTAAAAAAATTTAGTGTCATAAACTCTCTCTGATACTCTCATTGACTCCAAATACTAATCCTTAATAATGGTAAATACAACTTGCCATATTTATTCAGTTAGCTCACTCCATCCAGAAGTGTATAAAGTTTGAGCCTCACCCAATGTCTGTGGAAATCAGGGAATGTCTTTCCTCCAACATTATTAGCCTTTGTTTCAGATGGGAGTACCCATTGGCTTACAGTAATAGTCCAAAGACAAATCCATTTTTCCATATGAAGTGAGGCAAAGGTATTGTTTGACTCCACTCCCTGAATTTAAAGGGTGGATCAGCACTGCAGTGTGTTAATCAACATCTGTCTTTTCCATTCTTCACCCCAGAGAACAACTGAATTTTTCCTACTCATAACTCTTTATCCAACTTGGGGATAGTTCAGCTCTCAGAGCCAGCGAATCATGAGTTTCATATACTGTATACAACAGTTTGGAACAACTCATGCTATGTGGCAAAATTGCCTAAAAATTGTGCAGTGATGATTTAATGAGTTGTTACACAGCACCTGGCTTTGTCACTTTTGCTACTCTGCCTCGCAAAATGAATGTGTAACTGTCTTAAGGTTTTTATGCTAGCTATAATGACAGGAGAACTATTTTGTTAGTCTGACAAATATGTTAATCACCTCCAGTTTTATTTTGCCACTTGCATCCGCATTTTTCCCAAGGACACCATCCCTGGTTCAGGAAGTAAGCAGGATTTCTGAGTTCTTTCCAGTTATATTCAAGGTTAATCCAAAGTGTTTATAGCTCTTCAGAAAAGCATTATTATGGAATATTGAAGTTTGTAGTCATGGCACATAAAGGGAGCGATCTGTCTCATTTTGGCATACAGTTATTTTGGTTATCCATGCTGGTGACTAGCAAACCACTCTTGTCAGAAGCAGTCTTAGGCAGGCATCCAGAGAAAGAGCTGTACTCAAGTCCCAGTCCACAGGGAGGTACCAGAGCTGCTCTGCCTGTTGTACAGAGCTTGAAACTAATTGCTTGGATCAGAGCTGTGCTTAGGGAAGAAAGACTTGTCCTAAGGTTAGACTTTTTGGCAAGTTGAAACTTATTCTTTCCAATGCTTAAGCAAGATGGGCAACTTTTTGATTTGGACTCAGGATGTTTTCAAGAGGATTTTTGCATCAGTGGCATAATTTTTTTTCCATAATTTATTCTTTCCCTGGTGCAAATTTCACACCATATCCAAATTTGTTTGTTTGTGTTTGAGGATTTACAGAATATTTGAGCATGGTTTCCAGAAAAATTAACTTGTGCAGACAATAGCCAGAGGCATCCATCCTGACTACTTATCTGACAAGAAATGCTTTTGTCCTCATAGGGATGTGTTAGCAACTTGCTTATGCTTTGTGGTCTTGGTTTTACTCAAATATATTTGCTTTTTGAGCCTTCAGTCTACATCTTGTCATCTTTTGATATTGCTGCAATAATGACCATTCCATGCTTTATAGATGGCCAAGAAAAGGATGTTCATGTATCAGCCTTTTTCTTCTCACACAGTGTGCTAATGAGGATTCAGGGAGAATTCCAGCTCTTCTTTCTAAAAAGGCTTTCATGTTGTTGTTCAGGACACATTTTTAGCAACTACAATAAAAATGTACAGAAGTACTGGTTTCTTCAAGAAACATAAATTGTGGAGTCACAGTCTAAGATAACCAGTTTTGTTCAGCTCACTGTACAACTGGAACCCTGCCCTGAGGAGTGATGTAATCCAAATGGCATAGAGTAGGCATTTTCACTTCCTTACTTTGCTCACTGTTACGTCCTCTGCTTGTTTCCTCATGGCATATACTTCATTTAGTCATGCTGCCTGGCCAGAGCTTTTATTTTTTCCTTTTCAATAGTTCAAATAACATGATGTTTCTAGTGTGATTCTACAAATATTATTGATATCATATACTGTACTCCAATATGATCATGTACCATACCCACAGTATCCTCTAAGTTACTCAATTTTTCCTTCATGATTCTATGAAGTTGGCAATTCTCTACAGAAGTCTTCTAAAGGCAATGGAAAGCCTAAATATTTAAATTCTTTTTCTCAGTAGTATGGCTTTGTCCTGCAATTTATTAGCATAATCCCTACCTTTGGAAAATTTCAAAGGGGCCAGATCTAATAATTTTTTAGCATGCAAGAGTTTATAAGCAGATTTTTTAAAAAAGTGATTCTGTTTCTGAATGGACACTTTCTTCCTTTTCAGTCTACCTACAGTAGTAGTGAGTAAAACTGCCCCAGTGGAGTAATTTTACACCTGGTTTTCTTATCTTTTGCTTCTCATACTTGCAATCAACTTAAAAATGATTGAGGCATATTGCAGTTCTCTATTCTCCTGAAGATGGCAATACACTGTCTGATGAGCTGAGAATCAAGAATTTCTGCTCCCTGCATTCTGTCACCCTGTTCTCATGCACGTACATCTCTGCGTGCTGTGTGTACATTCCTGTAGAAACAAGCAGGAATGTAGACACATGGTCTCAGTTATTCTAAATTATTGTTGGGGCAGTGAGAGACTCTTCCTGATGAGCTGGGACTTGTACAGGTTCGGGAAGCACTGGCCTGTTACACTGGTCAACACCTAAACTACTTTTCATGCCTTCATGTCCTTTCTCTTATATCTGTTAAACTGATGATTTACCTACATTTCTTTGTCTCTTCATACTTCGGTATTTTTCTCTCCTGAAATTCTGCTACTTCACCTTTGCAGAATCTAGGCCACAGGTGAGTATACAATACAAGCCACACAATGATATCAACCTTGTCACCAAGTGTGATTCCATTTACACTTTTACATTTCTGGTACCACTCAGTTTTTAATGCTGATTAAATTATTTTTTCTGAAAAACTCCTAAAAACCAAATGGTAAGAATATAAATATTTAATTGCAATATAATTACCAGTTTGCAACGATTTATAATTCATAAATTCTAGAGGAGATCAGAGAATCAGGCGGGAATTTAGGAAAATTATGCAAACTTTCATACATATATCCAATTTTAATCTATTTTAAAAGAGTTTTTACCATACCTGAATTCACAGTTATCCATGAAAAATTTCCCGTATTGTGAAAGTATTCTTTGTTCTTGTGTTTTGAATTTAGCTGTACTCAGCAGATGAGTGCATTTTACAGGTAAGTGTACAAACTGTAGGAGGACTTATCTGCCAGTGTATTAGCTTGTGCAAATTGCACAACTTTAATAGTAATAGTTTTGTTTCTTTTCCTAGTTATTAAGTAATAAATTTTATGGTGGATATTTATCACAAGTCATTCCCTGAAATTGTT